AAAGTTGCTTGGATATATTATCTTCGCCGCATCAAATAAAAGAAAATAAGGAGTTATGAGAGCTTCTAAAGATTCTATAGATTTTAGCCCAAGCATAATGAATTAATCACAGTCAGAAAGTTTACTGTGCGATAGCAGAATGGCCATGCTTCTCTTCACTTATACAATCCGAAAGTTAAATGAACATTGTGTGATGCTAGAAATGTGAGCAAACTAAGCAGGCATACTCTTTGACCGCTTACAATGAAGTGGAAGAAAAGTTGGAAGCAAAAAGTTTTAACCAGTTGGTGACACATCATAGTCGATTGATAACGGCAATTTCCGGGCAGACGGGTTTGCGCTATATGCATCAATATGCAAAGTATGATTTCGAATTTCACATAAATCCGTTTCAACACCACCAAGTCTCCACCTATGAGCTTCAAAAGCAAACGTCTACATAAGGTCATAATGTGCTGTTACATCATACAAGCTCTAAAGAATCTTTTTATAACTTTAAATCACCATAATTTTCTCACCGCTACTGTTTGCTTTTTTGACGCTGCATGGATACTTACTGAGCCTCTCAACAATCTCATCTGGATCTCTTCTATATTTCAATCCACTAAACGAGATTCGCAAAAAAAAGGTATAGAAATTTCCGCACTTGCAAACAAAAGCGATAAATATCTACGTACCGCGTTTCCTTACGTGAAAGACGTCCGTCACTTTCGCGACGCAAGTTGAACGATGTTTCGGCATCGGAGTCGCGATAACCGTCATCCGAAGCTACCAAACGACTAATTTGCCTTCTACACTGAAAACTTGAACACTGACTTTGGCAAAGAATAAATCGTAATACTATCAGGTCAGTGCAAATTCAAGCAAGCTCCTTTTCATATGGTTTCTACTATAGATTCAGGGTCTACTAGGTTTGCAATTTTGTACGGAATAACCGATACGCATAGTATTTCAAATTCAGATGATGAAGAAGACAAATGAAGCATTTGAGATGAAGTGTAGATGACAGGCGTTGGCATAGCGCATACACATTAAATGACCGACAGCCGCACGCTTCATCTTCAAAGTGCATAATCAAAAGGATTCTGCAACGTAATCAAGCTACCAAAATCGAGTATCGAATTCAGTGAATTCTTTGAGAGTAGCTGCAATTTGCTCAAAATCAACGAGCGAAGTCGATTGTTTTTGCATGCATGGAGCCGAACAATGGCTTTTACTCGCTGAGAATTATTTGAAAAATGATATAAAACTCACTGCTCTTTTCACATTATTTGAAAAGCCGTTAATCACAACCTCCGAATGCTTAGCATTTCGAAAAAGTCCAACGCGTTGTGTTAACCTATCGTTAGTTATTCTTGACACCTGCTTGATCCCTCGTGCGAGGGGATCATTATACCAGCGAACCATGCCCTCGTCTTCCCCTAAATTAGTAAGGTGGCTAAGAACAAAGA